CACACACACACACACACACATATACATACATATATATATATATATAAAATTATTATTATTAATATTATATAGGACCTAAATATATTAAATATAAATTATATTTATTACAGTTTAATATAATAATTATTTAGCATAATTTATAACAAAGAGTGAAAAATTTAAGGGGGTCTGAATACTTTCCGTACCCACTGTATATATATATATACATAAAGAGGAAAAAAAGAAACTATACCTCATAAATCTTTGAAGAAGGGTCATACTTGGCATTCTTGGAAATGTGAATATCCTTCGATGGTAAATACTGAAAACGAGTTTTGAAATGTCATTGAATAAGTACACAATACAACTTGACAAAAGGCATGAACTAAACTGAAGTACTGTACCATTCTGAAAGGGTTCTCAAAGGACCCCATGATGCTGTGAGCTTTTTGTTGTGCCACAGTCAGATGAGCGGGAGCTGCTGCTGCCTCCTCCTCAAATACAAATGACAAAAAAAACATCCTCAACTCACAAAACAAACTGATGAGTAAGACCATTAACAATTACAAACGTTTAAACATTTTACAAAATCAACTTCAAACTTCTGCTAGACTTTACAATACATGCGGACCCTCCTGAACATGCTAAATGAGAGACGCGTAGACAGGTTTCTCTGAATTTCTTTTAAAAACGTCCTACCGCAAAGAGGCTGATTTTTGCTGAAGCGATCACGCCGTGCAAGGATTTTTCCTCTTGGTTCACGCTTTCATCCTCCTCCTCTGAAAACAAAACTCCCGGTTTGGTTGGAGTTTCTAAATATATATGTGGAGAAAAATGTCAATTGGTGGTTTTAAAATAACACAAAGGCAAATCATGAGGTCTTCATAATATCTAGACCTACCAAAAGAGGAGAGGTCCAGGAAATCACTTTCAGACGAGCGGGAGGTGTCGTGCGGTCCGAATAAAGTCGTCTGTGGCTAGAAGACAACAGCAAGAGGGGCAATTAGAAATAAACACAACAATATAGCTTCTTCTACCAGTTTGGATCCACCGAAAAATGCTGAACATCTGTCAACACACCTTTCTTTTAGGGGTCATCGATTTCCTCTTTTCAGCAAGTACCTCTGCCTAAAAAGAGAGAACATTCAAATTCATAGACTAGAATTTCATATTACAAATTGAAGTGAAACAAGAAGCAGAGTCTATGAGCTAAATAGTGTTTGTCTGAGCGCACACCTTGAGTAAAGGGGTCTCTCGAGCCTGTTTGATAAGCTGATGAAGCTCATTGATCTGCTGGCGCACTAGTGGTGGAGTGGGGTTACAGCACGCGATGATGCCCTGAGGCTCCCTAGAGTGAGCAACACGTACGTTTATACAGCCTTCAAAAGAATAAAACATTTAAATAATAGAAAAAAAGTATTTCAAATGCACTAGTCCACTCAAACTAAACTGAAGTTTGAAATGGCTTGTTTAGAAATCACCAAGGTTTTGATGCCAGACACCACGCATGTCTACATTTCAACATCTTTTCAGTAATTTGGCCCATTCTAATAAATGACTATTGTGGAGGTTAGCCAGTCATAACACAGGTCATTCACACGCACACACACACACACACTACTGTTCAAAACTTGGGGTTGGTAAGATTTTTTGAAAGATGTCTCAAACCAAGGAAAAGTTAAGAAAGTTGAAAATGCTCACAAAAACCAAAATTGCAAAGTTGCGAAAAAAGAAAAAACCCACACCCTCACAAGTGGGCAA